GTTCTGCCGTGCACGGGGTCGCTATGAGTCGGAAACGACTTGACGGCACCTAACAGCAAACAACAACTGACTGGTGAGCTATGAGAATTACTGTATATTCACTTACCATACTACCCAGAAACAACGTGCACGTGTGTGTGATGCTCACGGCACACGTAGGAAATCAGCATGCAAGGGGGTGACCCAGTTTGCAAAATAAAACATAACGTGCCTTGTTTGCTCAGTTATACAGTTGTTAGTTTCTTAATCAAGTCAGCCTGAGTCCTGGCCCCAGAACTCACCTAACTCCTGGCCGATGCCTCTGGTTATCCCTCCTGGCCTCCACATCCCAAGCTGTCAAGCTGTTGGATATTTCAGGCTTTGAGGGACTTTCAGAGGAGCTCTGGTGGTGCAGTGGTTAAAGCACTGGCTGGTAACCAGAAGGTCAGCAGTTCGAACCCACCTGCAGCTCCACAGGAGAGGGATGAGGCAGTCTGCTTCTGTAAATGTTGACAGCCTTGGAAACCCTATGAGGCAATGCTACTCTGTCCCATAGGCTCACTGTGAGTTGGAATTGACTTGGTGGCAGTGGGTTTTAGAGGGCCTTTGGGGCAGGGATACGTTTATTTGGTTTTGATTTACTTAGCGAATATTTCCCAGCTTTTCGCAGGCACGTTGGCATCAGGGCATCTGGGGGTGAGATAGATGGGAGAGCAGGTGGCTGTGGTGGTGCAGGAGCAGTACCTGGGTGTGGGGCCGGGCGGGGGGCCTGGGACTGGGAGAGGCCACAGGGCCTAGCGGGTTGGAGGCCGAGCGCGGCTGGGGTAGTGGCCGAGTGAGCAGCCCCTGGTCCTGCAGAGGCCCTACTGGATGGCGGCTGGGGTAGGACACCGCCTTTGCGTGTGACTCCTCCAAATTAGGTGCTGACACAACCCTAGAGCCTGGATTTCCTCCCGAGTTGAGAGATGGGTGGGTTGTCCCTCGAGCCGTCACCCATGCACAGCCTCACTGCAGTGTCTGCAGGGCTCACTGGCTTTGGGGTGTGGAAGACACTCCAGGAGAGAGAGTGGAAACATTGCTGGCTCGGTGCAGCACGGTGGGGGCGGTGGGGCTGGTGGGGGCGGTGCCAGAGCCTGTGTGAATTCCTGGGGCTGATACACATCAGCCTCTGCACAGAGTTGATGGCGACTCCTGAGAGCTGGAGGTCAGGCGTCCTTCCTCACCTTTTTACCAGTTCTGCCACCAGCCGTCCCTCCCACCACACCCTGCTTCTCTCCTGGGTTTGATAATTCACTGCAGTGGCCACACACACTCACAGACCATACTTCAGTTAAGTGGTCTGTCAGGGGCCGGGACAGCGCGGGATCAGGATCAGGACTGTGTAGGCAGTCTGCTGTCTTCAGGGCAGGACAGTGCTCGCAGCTGCGCTCAGCTGGGAAGGCCCCTCTCTCAGCCTCTGAGAACAGGCCCCCTCTTACCTCCTGGAGACGGGCCGCCTCTCAGCCCTGCCGTCTGTCACCCCCAGCCCTGCCACCGGGCCCCTTCTGGGCCTCTAGCTGTCTTCAGCCCTGGAGCCGTGTTACTGCTCTTTTAGGAAGATCCTTGCCTCCTCTCTCTTCTTCCTGCTGCTTCTCCTAGAAAAACCTCCGAGGTTCTGGCTGCTTAAACAAACTCCTCCTCCGTTTGAAGGCAGGCACTCCCCCCAGGGCCACACACTGACCAGTCCCCTCTGTAGGCTACTGATGCTTCATTTACCTGGTAGGCTACAGGTGTCTCATTCGCATAATTTTGAACAGTGTCTGCAGGGTGCATACCAATCACAGGCAGCTGAGCCCCAGACCAGACAAAAGGTATCCAGCCACAAATTGTTTCAGCTTACTTGGGAAAAGCTAATCAGCCTGGACAAAACTAACAAACTCTTCAAGGTAGAAAATTAGGGCAAAGGTAACTCCTGAGGGCCTCTCAGAGACGGTGTCCCTGTGTCCTTGATGTGGGGTCTCTGAGATGGTGATGCCACTGTACCCGCGGCATGGTGTCTCAGGGACAATAATGTCACGGTGCCCTCGGCCCAGTGTCTTGGGGATGGTGGTGTCACTGTGCCCTCGGCTGTGTGTGTGACCCCCGCCTCTCCCCACAGCCGGTGATAAACAATGACAAGCACTGCTTCGAGTGCTACGGCTATGACATCATCATTGACGACCGGCTGAAGCCCTGGCTGATTGAGGTGAGTGCACGCTGCCTGACGTCACTGTCACCCTGCCTGGCCCTCCCCTTGGCTTTGCCTGCAGTGGGCTCACAGTCCCCCGGCCACATGGTCCTCAGCCAGGCAGGGGACAGGGCAGGGGGCAGATCAGGGTCTGGACCGTAGGGGGCAGAGCTCTGCTTTAGCAGTTTGCTGGCCCTTGAAACGTGAGCACCAGATCTCATCAGAGCGGAGTACAGTCCATGGAGGTGAAGCCGCCACCGTCCAGATGAGCGCCCAGGGAGCCTGGTGGCTGGGGTGCCTGGTCCTGTCCCACAGGCTCCCCTCGTCCTCACTGGGGGCCTTGGTCCCACCCAGGAAGTGAGCTCACAAGAACAGAAGCCTGTGGTGAGCAGTCACAAGCTGTGCAGAGATAAGGGGTCAGATCTGTTACTCTTGGGGTCAAGGCCTAGTTCACCAGAGTTCATCTGCCTGCTTCTGAGAGAGGAGGGGGACCCCGTGGTGGCTGTTCCATCAGGGTGGGTGCTTGCAGCCTCACTGTTCAAAAGTCCCTCCTCCTGTGCCCAGCCTGAGTCACGCTCCGTGGCAGCAGTGGGCACTGGAGGCCCAGACTTTGAACCAACACTGCCCCTGTCACCCACGGCCACTTTGAAGCCAGTGAGAGGAGCTTCCGGCCTCTGAGGGAGCATGAGGTTGGCACGGCATGAGAGTGAGGCGTTTCCGTCTCCCTGGTGTAGCCCGAGCACCGTGTCCCCTCATCCAGCTCACTGAGGGGACGGCTCGGGCCCGGTACCTCAGGCACGTTTTAACCTAGGACTACTCCCAGCATCAAGGTGTTGGGAGTGACCCCTCATCAGGCACGTCAGAGGGAAACGTGCCAATAGGCTCTGACCACCTAGTCCAGCCACACTTCTTGGGTCTGGGAGCTGATGTCCGTGAAACTTAACCTGTTACGTTGTCAAAGCCGTGGGGACTGCATGTGTGTATATATACATATGGTGTGTATATATGTAAAGACGTTGGGGCGTGTGCCATCAAGTGGATTCTGACTTACAACCACCTGTATGACAGAGTAAAGCTGCCCCATAGGGCTCCGTAGGCTGTAGTCTTTACAGGGAGGAGCCCTGGTGTGGTGGTGTAGCACTCAGCTGCTAACTGCAAGGTTGGGGGTTCGAACCCACCAGCCGCTCTGAGGGAGAAAGATGAGGCAGTCTGCTTCCAGAAAGATGACACCCTTAGAAACCCTCTGGGGCAGTTCTACCCTGTTCTGCAGGGTCACCATGAGTAGGGATTGACTTGACGGCAGTGGGTTGGGTTTGCTTTTTGTAATCTCTATGGGAGCAGGTGACCAAGTCTTTCACTTCTGTGGAGCAGCATGTAGGTTTGAACCACTGACCTTTTAGTTGGCAGCTGAGTGCTGAACCATTGACCGCAGGGGCTGTATAGCTGTGTGTGTGTGTGTGTGTGCGTGTGTGTATTTATACATGTGTATGGATGTCTATACATACGTGTATGCACAGGTGTGTATGCATGTACACACGCGTATGTTTTTTGTGGTGGTGGTGAAAATACACATGACAAAACACGCCGTCGCGATTTTTACACGTGCCAGTCAGGAAGTTTGTCGAGTTGTGTGGCCATTCTGTCCCTTTCTAAACCCTCCCACCACCATTAACATGAACTCAGTGTCCCCTAAGCAAAACTCCCCTCACCTGCTCCCTCACTCCTGGTGCCCATCTTTGGTTTCTAGGTGTTTACTTATTTTATATATAATTTAACTTTTTTTCCCCATCTTAAACAGAGTAACTTAAAGTCAGGCTTTCCTTTGATGAGCTGGGATCTTAATTAATATAACATATGATCTTATTCTCAATATATTTGTAAGAGGTTTCGTGTTACACTATAATCACCCCTGCCCTGAAAAAGAGAACCATTGTCACTGAGCCAGTTCCAACTCACAGCAACCCTACAGAACAGAGTAGAACTGCCCCGTGGGGTTTCCAAAGCTGTAAATCCTTACGGAATCAAATCACCACGTATTTCCCCTGTGGAGCAGCTGGTGGGTGCAGACCTCTGACCTCCTGTCAGCAGCAGTGTGCTGTAACCGCTGTGCCACCAGGGCTCCTTGTATCGTGCTGTACTGTGGTGGAAACTTTGAGGGCGGCCGAGTCCAGGACGATCCTCCGACGCCATCCACATCCCATACCCTGGGAGCACCAGCACAAAGGGCCCTTCCAGCCATTGGGGGGCACGGGGACAACTTGCAGATCAGCTGCCTGTGGTCATCGGGCCTGAGGGAATGCTGGTCAGCAGCGCAGGGCCTGAGCTAAGAGCGTCTGTTGGCCAAGGGCCGTGGGCTCCCCCAGAAGTGTCTGTGCTCTGACGTGTGGGTTTGTGACTGTGCTTACCTTCCAGAGGCCGTATGGGGCCGGGGGTTACAATGTATGGCTTGGGGTCCTCATTTGGGTTGGAAACTGCTTTACTGTAAGGCGCCCTGGGGTAGTGACAGTTAACCTCTCAGTTGCTGACTGAAAGTTTGGCACCGTGAACCTACCCAGCTGCTCTGTAAGAAAAAGACCTGGTGGTCTGCTGCCTAGAAAACCCTGTGGGGCCGTTCTGCTCTGCCGCAGGGGCCCCGTGAGTCAGAACCGACTGGACAGCACCAACACCAGCGTTTCTTTCCTAAGGAGGCATTACTCTCACGCAAAACCAGGGCCTGTTACATTTTACTTGAAACTCACGGTGCTCCTTGATCAGGGGCATTTCATTTGCTGGCTGTAGCAAAGCTGGGTGGTTAGGTGTTACAGACAGAGCCCCGCTGACTCTGAGTTACATTTGTGATGGGCACTGACTCCCAGGTTTCGTTAGTGTGGCAGTGATTTGTAAAGCATAACCCTGTCCTGTCTCTAGGTATCATTTATATCTCGTCCTACAGCTGCTAAAAGCAGGTCCCCAAGGGCTCCGCAGACAGGCTGCCCTGAAGGCTCTAGGCGTTCACGGCCACCAACAACAGCCTTGTTCCTAGCGCCTGGTAGCCAGCCTTTTCCTCTGCGTTGCACGTTTTCATTCCGGAGGAGTATGTGATGCAAGTAAGAACATGGGCTTCTTCCTCTCCTAGGTCAACGCGTCCCCATCTCTCACCTCCAGCACCGCCAACGATCGAATCCTGAAGTATAACTTGATTAACGACACCCTCAATATCGCGGTCCCGAATGGCGAAATTCCAGACTGCAAATGGAACAAGTCGCCCCCGAAGGAAGCCCTTGGCAATTACGAAATTCTGTAAGTGGGGTGGGACGCTGCGGTTGTCTCTCCACAGTCACACCGAGGTGTGTGCAACACCTTGGGCTTTCTGGTCTGTGGGGACGGTACTTCGTTTACTCAGAGACTCTGGGGTCATGTGGCCGCGAAAGAGACTGGACCTTTGTCTGTGCCCTTGCTTACTGGGCTTCTCGGAAGCACTGGCCACGGGCAGGGCATCGTGTTAGCGGCTGGGGTGGCTGGGAGCAGGACAGACACGGTGACATGGTGCTTCGCTCCTCACTCAGGCCCCCTTCGCTGTTGGGCACCACAGCCTTTGAGCTTCAGCTTTGTGCCTTCTACATGGGGATGACGAGATTCATCTTACAGAGTTTAAAGAAAAGAGCTGGCAGTAAGAGCTAACATTTGAGGGCTGATCTTGCACCAGGAATTGTGCCCAGAGCTTTACACACACACATTGCCCTTAATCCCCCAGCAGCCTTACAAGGTGACAGTTATTATTAGCTCCATTTTACAGATGTGGAAACAGAGGCTCAGGGGGTTGTTGGTGTCAGTAGTGCGAGAAGTGGGAAGGAGGAGAGTGCCGGTCAGGAGGATGGGGTGGCATGTGGCATGTACGCAAGGTGGCTTTGATAAGCAGAGGGCCTGGAGGTTGAGTGAGAAAAGCCAACTGCAGGACAGAGCCTCTGTAAGCCAACTGACGGGCACCACAGAGCCCCCTGTGTGTGTGCATGTGGTACATGTGTGTGCTTGTGTGTGTGAGCGGGTGAGCCGGGGAGAGTGTAGCAGGGCCCATGGAGCAGGTGTTGGCATGAGTGTGTGTGAGTGGGTGAGCCGGGGAGAGTGTAGCAGGGCCCATGGAGCAGGTGTTGGCGTAAGTGACTGCTGGGACAGGAGGAGATGTGCCCCAGAAACAGAGCGCACATGCTGGATCACAGTGACATGTAAGGTAATTATGTGTATTTAATTAAAAAAAAAAAAAAAAAA